TGGCAACACTGCAATATTGTCTAGCCTCCTATTACTTCTGCTCCTCCCTTCTCCCAGGTCTAACCTTTAAGCCGCAGTCGAAACCCTCACCGAATGTACTCTGTTTTCTCAAAACCCCTCTCTGTTTCTCTCTGTAACTTTGATACGTGAACAGAGGTTGTGTATTCTAAAACCCTAAGTCAACATACTGTTCTATATATATAGAGACTTAAATAAAACCCTATTCCCTGTATGATTAGAGATAGAGCCCTAATGTTGATCTTAGTCGGTCCATAGAGCAACCTAAGATAATCTATGTCGGCTACACATATTGAATTCCTAGAGGACCCTAGTTAATTAACGTAATTTAAAAAAAAACTCATTTAACTTAATTAGGTAAAGCAGTTACATAGCAATTATATCAGTCCTCAAATTTCCGGTGACCATGGAGTGTATCTCTAACATTCGTCGACAGTTGTCAACGCTGAGTGATGTCAGGTGGCTTCGGTGGTGGTCTGAGTGTAGGATCAGGTAGTTACCATTTAGTTACAACTCTACATGGATTGACAGTGGTTAAGGGGTTTGAAGCAAGAAGTTTGGATCTTATTGGTTCAAGAGTCAAATGCAGAATCGAGTTGGCAGAGAGGGATTTCTTCTTGAAGATTCGTCGATTGCGTTCCATCCAAGTGTTGTAGACCAGAGAGGCAAGACACATTTTGGAAATTGAGTTGCTGTAGAAGTCATGCTTGCCATTCCAATGATGAGATGCCCAATTTATCAAGTCATGCCATGTAGAGGGAAAGATATGGAACCCACAACTCATTTGAATAAATGTCCACAAGGGTTTTGAGAATGCACATTTGAAAAAAAAGATGGTCATGGGATTCAGGAATCTTGGAGCAGAGGGGACAAAGAGTGGCATTGATATGGGCAGTGCATCTCCAATTTAGTGTTGGAAGTCTATTTTGAATGGCTACCTAAAGAATGAAATTGGGATACGGATTCTCTCCATAATTATCTCTCTCCTGCTTTCTCCAAATCTAAATCTAGGTGCTTTCTCCAAATCTAAATCAAAGAATTAATATTAAGACAGGTCGTCACTTACCTAAACTACACTATTTTAGAACCAAACGGACCAAACAAACATTTATACTTCTTTTCTTTCTCTCCTCCTCTTACTTTCTCTCTTTAAAACTTTTCTTGCTGATAAACCACACCAGGAGGCAAATTGTTGAGCAAAGAGGTTCAAATGGAGTTCTGTGGATTAGAATTAATCAACCCAAAATTGGGACCTTTACAATTTGGTAGAGTTGATGTGAACCAATTATTTTGTTGTCATTGTCATTTAAAGAAATTTCTAAACAACTGTTTTGAGGCCGAACGAGGAAATCCACCGGAGAAGAGACTGGTCTAGGCTTGATTCAGACAAAAAACTCTCTCAATCTTCCAATCTAGACACCTCCAACCCATAAGGAATTGGTAAGAGATCCAACCCCAATTCGTCCTTCAGACCACCAGCTAAGAGGAACTTCGTTACAGATCCCGGACCAGTTTTCGGTGACATCGAAACCGGCCATAGTTACTGGGGGTTGTTATCAGAAACCACCGCCACATTCGCTGTGTACTCTGTAGAACCAGACCCACAACCATCACCGGCTCTTCCGCGGCCAAATAATGAAGAAAACATCGACGTCGATGTTGACGGGCTTGGTTTTCCGAGGTAGATAGCAGCGGCGTTCGTTGGTGGGGTGTAGAGTGAGTGTGTAGAGAGAAAAAGTATGAGGAGGATGAGAAGAGAGAAAAGAAGCACAAACGTCCGTTTGGTCCCAAAATGATGTAGTGGATAAGTGAACTGCTTATGACGTGTCTAAATATTAACCTTAGATTTGGCTTTAGAGAGAGCAGCAGAGAGATTGTTATGGAGAGGATCTGTATCCGTGAAATTGTGCATGGGAATTGAAGGTTTGGACCAGAGTAAATTGGTCCAAGGGAGGGAAGGCAGTTGGTGACAGTGGTGCTTCAAAGTTGCAACAATTGAGAAAGTACCTGAGGGTGAAGGACACCAAATGAGCTTGTCCTTTCTTTGATGGTTGGGGGTTGGCAGGGAAGAGGAGCACTACAATCGAGGTAATAAGTCAGTAATAGCAGTGGTGAAGGTCCATGTGGAGCAAGTTATGAAGGAGCATAGTTTTGTCTTGTTATCATGTCCCGAATCATTGATTTGCTGAGGGGAAACAAGAAGGTGGAGTGGACCAAGATGGCACCAGTTATCAAACCAAAAATTAGTGGTTCTTCCATCACCAATTTGTAGTTTGGTAAGAGGCTGAATTGGGACTCTTTAAGGCTTAGAATTTTTCTCCAGCTCCATGAGTGCTATCCAGGTACCTTATCTTCCCAAATACTACTTCCTTTTAGTAGATAGCTGTCAGTCCATTGTACCCAAAGCATTTCCTTTGAATTAATAATTCTCTATAAGTGTTTCATGATGGCAATATCATTCCAGGTAGCAAGATTAGGCAGACCAAGCCCTCCTAACCTCTTAGGAAGACAACATTTCTCCTAAATCACCTTCCCACCAATCTTTTTAAGGGTTGGTCCAGTCCGTAGAAATGATCTAAAGATGCTTTCCAATTCATGTATAATTCTAGCCAAATTAGATTTGGGGAGCTTTCGCGTTTAAGTTACATTCTCTCACTTAAAAAATTGTCATCTTTTAAGCGATGCTTATTTTTATCAAACTCACTTATTTTTGAAAATCATGTATTGTGTTCTGCATTCATCACTCAATTAGGAAATCAAACACGCCCTAAGTCTAAAATTGAGATGGGAGTCACAAAGTCAAAAACGTTTAACAATTGATTCTTGGTAGAGTGGGGTAAATGTAAGCCTAGTCAGAGCCCATTGCATTTGCCAGAAGATAGTGGATCATTTCTCTTGAAATCACATGAAAAGTCTTCAAGATTTTTCCCTCGATTGGTTAATTTTTCCATCTCTTCTGAAGAGTGAAACCTTTTGATGAAAACGTACTCTCTATTGCCTCTAGGGTTCTCTCTGCAAGGAAAACTCTAATATATATATATATATATATATATATAAATTTTTTTGATTGGTTGTTACTTTTTAATTAAATATTAATGAGAATGAATTACATAATAAAATAAATTCCAAAAATAAAAAATAAAACATAATTATACGTACTATCATTTTATTCTCATTTTGAAAAGAGATTCTTTTTTTTTTTTTTTTTTTTTTTTTTTTTTTTTTTCATGTACTTTTCTTAATCTTTGTATCCAAAACCCATATACTTTATTTTTTTTTTTTCATTTTTATTTGTCTAAAATCTGATCATGACCCGCTGAATGATGTGAGGGTGATGAGGCATGATGTGAGAGTACTGTGTTCGTTTCATGATCCTATCATTTTCCTATTATTATTATTTTTATATAAATAAATCATTTTCCTATTATTATTTGGCATTGTAAAAAATTACCATCATGTTACGTATTTGATGGTTTATAAAATGGTTTGAATGATGTGAGGGTGATGAGGCATGATGTGAGGGTAATGTGTTCCTTTCATGATCCTATCATTTTTCTATTATTATTATTTTTATATAAATAAATCATTTTCCTATTATTATTTGGCATTGCCAGAAATTACCATCATGTTACGTATTTGATGGTTTATAAAATGGTTTGAATGATGTGAGGGTGATGAGGCATGATGCGAGGGTAATGTGTTCCTTTCATGATCCTATCATTTTCTTATTATTATTATTTTTATATAAATAAATCATTTTCCTATTATTATTTGGCATTGTCAAAAATTACCATCATGTTACGTATTTGATGGTTTATAAAATGGTTTCACCTCCTCAAAGTATGCCCTAGTAAAGTTTGAAGAGATTTAAAAATATTGATCGAGGTATTGTTGATAACTCAATTCAGCAATTAATTATTTTGACACTATTTAAAATAAAGTAAAATTTTAACATTTAGCATTCAGTGATAAGTATTGTCTCTATCACTTAAAATTTTACTAAAAACGCTAATAAAATTTTAAGTGACAGAAACATCGCTTGACTGAATGCTGAACTTCAAAATTTTTAAAAAATATATAAAAAAAATTATTTTTTAATTACTACTTAAAAACTTCAATACTTAAAATCCAAGTCTTAAATTTTTTACTTAATTTTTAGTTTTATTAAAAAAAGCCTTTCTCACTAATGAGAAGGTTATACAATACCTAAGGTTTGACACTCATATAAGTAGTACTCCTCCCAATGAAAACTTCTTGTTTTTCTTAAAAACTCTACAGTTCCCTATTATAAGGAAAATAGAGAATTTTCATTGGAAAAAATATCATGTATCAATATACTCCTAAAATATTAGGATATTGTACTCTTTTTATTGAGATTGTTATGAATAAAGGCTCTGTATTTTAATACAAAAATACTATAAAATTATAGAAAACAATCTGTAATTACAATTTCACTACAAAATTATAGAAAACAATATGTAAATACAATTTCACTGTGGAATCAACAAAAAAAGGATTTCCACAAAACAATTCCAGGACAAATATTCAACTATACAGCTTAAGGATCTACAACAAATAACAAATTCTTACATAATTTAGAAAAATATATCCACATAGGAAAAAATAATACATGATTACAATCAAGCAAGCAATTTAGAAAATCCCAAATACTAACTCAAAACTTGCGATTCCCCACAGTGGTCCGATATATGTTAATACAAGAATGTGTGTGTAATTATGATACATCTAGGGAAAGCTAACCTTCACACTATGTTGGACCTAAATTCAGAAACTTACGATAAAAACAAATTGAATATTAATGCAACTTCTATAGCAACCCTTTTTCGTGGCATTATTTGTCAAAAGAGTGTTGGTTGCAAACTCGCATTTGTGATCGGTTGAAAAATCAATAACGGCGAAAGCAGTGCACCGACAAGCTGCCCTCCTCTTTTCAAAATTGCAACAACTTCTTCCCTATCACAAATACACACATATACAACCTTGCACCTTCTCCCTAAAACACATTCTCATAAAATGGACAAGAACCAATACAAATTGAGCAAACTTGAAGCTCAGCTATCAAAGAATCACAAGGAACAAAATCACTTAAAAGCTGGCTGGCTATGGATGCCATCAAAAGCCCAAATACTTCAAAACAAAGAGGACACAAACTTTTAACGAACTCAGTATCAGCCTTTGCCAAGCACACTCAACCACCCTGTGACCTCAAGCCTCAAATGCTCAAACCATATTTGACAAACCAACAAGGTTTAGCGGTAGTTCCAATTACAATTAAACAAGCATGTTTAAGCCAAGACATAGAGAAAGGGAAGTAAAAGGATGATTTCAACTCAACTGAGATGGAAAACATGATTTCCTACCTATCCAATGAAGTTTTACAATAACATTTATTATTAAAAACTTACTGGGAAAGAAAAAACAAACAGAAGCCACAACTCCCAGAAGCAATTACTAGGGGCATTGCCTCACAAACAAGCATAACTTTGGGTGTGCCTCATATGATATTCATTCATGTGATTGTAGGAACTTTGAAGGTTCGTGCAGGCTTTGTGAACTGGTTCATTTTGGTGCTGCTTCTGCGAGGTGTGTCTCACGCATAATTTGGTACTTGGTAACTAGCTTGTCTTGAGATGGCCAGTTCTCTTTGATAACTGGAACATCTGAGAAATTTTGCATCCAGGCAAATATCAATGGGAACTTTTCTGAATCAACCAACTTAAAAGGTATTACCTCTTCAATTACGCTGACCAAATTAGCCATCCAACCCAATGCAAGGTCTACAAATCCAATAGTCTCTCCACCGAAGAATTTTTTTCCTCTTAGTCTTAGCTCTTCTTCTATGAATTTCAGCTTCTCCATAACTGCAGGCATAGCTTCCTCTTGCTCTTTCCCTTGTGTAAACAAAACATGCCGTACTGATGGAAAAATCTTGACGGAAGAAGAAATAGTGAATGTTTGGTTAGATGACAGTTTTAGAACAAACAACTTTGTAAGCCAGTTAGAAATGTTAGACACGGTGCTTAAAATAAAACATAATGTCACTTTTTAAAATTTGAAAGTACTTTATGTTGGAAAAATATATAAATCTAAATGATTTTTCTGCAAGTATATAGATACTAAATATTTTTGATATTTTTGATTCAGGGCCAGACATCAAAACATATATGAAACTGGTTATTTACCTTATCGTCATTGAATTTAGCCCAGAAACGTGCCATGGCTTTCTCATAAGGATCTTTTGGCAATATGGGAGTGTTTTGCCATGTCTCCTCGATGTATTCAAGAATTACAAGCGATTCTGCAGTCGCTTTTCCATCATGCACCAGCACCGGCACCTTTTTGTGAACAGGATTGAGCTGGAGAAGTAAAGGGCTCTTGTTGGTAAGATCTTCAAATATGGTTTCATATTCTATGCCGTTAAGTTTCAGTGCCCAAATGATCCTCAGGGAAAATGGACTTGACCATGTCCTGAAAAGCTTCAGTTCTGCCATTTTGGTTTGATAAACAAACTATGATAGCTAGGTCCTTTATAGCCAACATTTTCTTTTCTTTTCTGGAATTTCTTTTTTGTTGGAATGTTATAACATATTCCTATATCTTGCTGTATATCTATGTAACACCTTGAATTTAGATAATTTACATTCTTCCCATTGAATATTCAATATTTTCTAAATTTAATTTGATATTAGGTAGTTAATGCTCAACAAGAGTGCAGGTTTCTTATTTTAAACCTGTGATGATAATATATGGTCCAAAATTGTTATTTTATATATGTTTCTAACAATTTGTTGATTAGACTATATGTGTTTTTAACCATTTGTTGATTAGACTGCACTGAGTTAATAGTTTGTTGAGAAATACATAAAAAAGTTGAGTCCAAGGCCTAAAGCATAAGTTCCTATTTTGTGTAATATCATGTCAATAGTTTCATGACAAATTTGTTTTGATCTTATAACTTTGTAATTAGTGCGGGTTTGGACCACTTGAAGTGTTGGGTCACAAAATTCAATTGAAATTTGGCCAGTTGATTGATCAGACCAACCTCCACATGTTGGATGGAAAAGAAAGTATTGTCCTTGATCATCGACTAGTTCAACACAAGTGGCTATTCTCATGTTAAGGATGAGGGACTCAGCAGCCAGCAAAACGTCCATGGATGGTAACCCGCGTGATACATGTGTGTGATGTTGTGATCTGAATTTTGTTCCCGTCCAGAAAAATGATCTCTTGATTTTCGTATAATGATTTTTTTTTTGCTCAATCTTCACTGTAGACATAGTCCGGATTTTTAGTGAACCACGTAAATCTTTATGCTCTTTGTGTGTGGCGTATTTACTTTTTCTGTTGTGATTCTTATTTTGTGTTTGATTCACTGCCTTTGTCGTGCATGTTGATCCCGAATGGTCATTGCTATTGTACTTTTGAACTTTACCTTTTTGAATTGTAAATTTCATTACTCTTATTACTATTTAAAAAGGCTTATGAAAGTAGATGGATTAAGATATAGTAGGGCCTGTTAGAGTGTTATTAAAGGCTCAAGGCGCGCCAAGATGTTAGAGGTTCTTTGGAGCCCAGGCAAGAGGCGCACGGCTAGGCCCGCGCTTGAATGAAGTGAGGCGCACAATTAAAAATTTAAACTACCATAATAACATTCATATCTCATAAGTCATATCAATATTCTAGAAATTAATATCAAATATAAAAAAGTAAATCCATCAACTATACAAGCATCCAACAACCATAAAACAGAGCACAAATTTGTTTTCTTGAAAGGCAAAACAAAATGTGTTTTTTTGAATGGCAAAATAAAGCACAAAAAGAAATAAATATGTTAACAAAAAAAAAAAAAAAAAAAAAAAAAAAAAAAAAAAAAATTGTTAACAAGAAAAAAAAGAAGAAAAAACAGAGCCAAAAAAGAAGAAGAAGACACATAGAGAAGAGAACTAGACGAAGAGAGAGATGGAAACAAAGATAAGAAGAGATGGGAGATCTAGAGGAGAAAGGAGGAGAGATGAAAGAAAGAAAGAAAGAAAGAAAGAATTAACGTGGCTTCGTCGTTCATCTTTGCAACTAAGGCTTCATCTTTCGTTTCATATTCTCATTATATCGTTGTTCGGTTAATACTTTGACTCTTGGGCTTTCTAATTTTTTTATTCTTTTGTACAAAAGTTTCTTTTATCATATGCTTCGGCTTTCTTTTTTGTTTATTAAGTTGCTAAAAGTACCTTTTTTGGCTTAAGAAATAGAACAATCGTATTTTTTTAGACAAATATCAGTGAGGGGCGCCTCACAAACCGGACGAGGCGCAACCAGGGTGCGCGCCTAGTAAACATTAGTGAGTCTGGGATGACAACAAGCGCTAAACCTGAGCCTTGAGCCTAGGCGTGAGCATGGGCACGCCTTTAACAACACTGGTCTGTCATGCTTTATTTTTAGTCCTTGATGTTGGTTTGGATGCTTTGTTATTTTCCTTTTGAAATTCCCTATGTTTTTGGTGCCATTGTTGTTTGTTAGGTTTTATTTCAGTTAGGTTTAGTCTTTCTTTTTTGTTTGGTTAGTGTTTTCAGTGTTGCTTTGTTTTGATGTTCTCTCTGGAGTATGTTCACTTGTATCTTTGTATATTTGTTTTTTTGAGTTAATGTTATTCTTACTTATTGAAAATAAAAATATATATAAAAAAAATTACAGGTTAAAATGATGAAATTTCAAAGTAAATGTGGTAAAGTTGCACAACGGAGTACTGCAAATATATATGTGTGTGTGTATTAGAGGATTTTTATTTAATTGTGCTTGTTCTAGTACCTTATAAGTTATAACTGTGATAGTCCTATATTACTTGGAAAGAAATGGAATTCAACCATTGGAAGCCTTTTTTTTATTTTAATTGCCAAGAAACTCACTTGTTCATTTGTCTCGCATAAGATTTTATTTTTATTTTTATTTTTGTAATTTATTTTATATGATAGGAGACATGTCCTTGACAACAGTTTCAGGTTCAATTTTTTACTCCTTTCGTCTCAAAATAGATGACAATTTGTGAGGCACAATTCTCAAATTGGACATGACGTAAGGAGGGACCAGGATTACCTCCAGTTGCATAGTACAACCATTTCCACCATTTGAAATAAGTGGTTGAGAATGTGCCACATCAATTAAAAAAATTGGGTAACTAATTTTTTTCCACCCTTTTAAATATTGTAATTCATATGTATATAAACTTTAAATATTATTTCTAAAATACACGGTTGTCTCCCTTTCTCTCTCGTGCTGTCCCCCTTTCTCTCTCTAAAAGCAGCCGTCTTCCTTTCTTTCTCTCTCTAAAAGGGAAGAAGGAAATAGTACTAATGGCGGTTTGAGGCGAAGAAGAAGAAGTGAAGAATGGCGGTCAGGCGAAGAAGAAAAAGTGAAGAACGGCGGTCAGGCGAAGAAGAAAAAGTGAAGAACGGCGATCTGAGGCGAAGAAGAAGAAGTGAAGATCGAAGGTCTGAGGGTTAGGGTTTGAATTTCGAATAAACGAAGATGAAGAAGAAGGGAGGGGAAAACGAAGAAGAAGGGAAAAAGGTCTGAGGCTAGGTTGGAAAAGGTGGGATAAGTTGGGATGCACTTTAGGAAAATGTTGGGATTCACCGTAGGAAAATGTTGGGATGCACCAGAACGGCGGTGAGGCGAAGAAGAAGAAGTGAAGAACGGCAGTCTGAGGCGAAGAAGAAAAAGGAAATAGTACCATTTTAAATGGTACACTAGCAATTAAAATGTTGGGATGCACATTAGGAAAATGTTGGGATTCACTTTAGGAAAATGTTGGAATGCACTTTACAAATAAGTTGGGATGTTTATATGAAAATGTTGGGATGTACTTTAGGAAAATGTTGTGATGCACAACTTTACAAATACGTTGGGATATATGTAATGAAAATGTTAAGAAATTGTTGTGCTGTAGTTGAGAAATTGTTGTGATGTAGTAAATAAGGATAATTTGGGATACATGTATAATTTTTAGATTTTATTTTCAAGGAAATCCTCTTATTTCCATAACAATGCCATAAATAAAGAAATCGTAACTCTTGCTTCGATTTGGAGAAGTCTGATCTAACCTTCAATTTGGAAATAGAATCGCTTATTCTATTTCGAAATAAAGCCTGCTTCTATTTGGAAAGAAATCAAATTCTAAACTGTGTTGATTGATATTTTGGGAGAGAAGAAGGGTAGCTGGGTGGTGGGATTTCAATCAAAATCTATTTGGAAAGAAATCAAATTCTAAACTGGGTTGATTGATATTTTGGGAGAAAAGAAGGGCTGGGTGGCGGGATTTCAATTTTATTTCAAATGGGTTGCTGAAATGAAGGAGGGAGGGAAGAAGAAATAAGCGAGGAAAGAAGAGTATATTTGAACAGTGTATACATACATATATATATATATAAACAAAAATTCTGTATAAAGCAAATATAATTTCACCTTGGTAAATACTATTCATTTACAAAAATGGAGCAAATGTTTGCACTATTTCACTGGAGGTGATTTTATTTAGATACAGGGGTCACCTACAAATGAATAGACCACTTGTAATTTTTTACTTTATTCAGTTATAGAGTCGCTTACAAATGAATAGACCCCATGTAGCTATTTACTTATAAGGTCACTAACAAATGAATAGACCACATGCAGCAGTCCTAACTTACTGAAGCCCATAAGTAGAAACCAGACTGCTGCCCAGTCCATTCTAAATTCTAATAAAAGGTGAGCCCTTTACGGCCCAACTTAATCCATGGCCTAGTGTATTTTTCCTCGCCCAAACACACAAACATGGTTCCACTGAAACTCAAACTCCCGAACGTCCCTCATTTGAGAGGACGACTTGTACCAGGACTATTGCCCATTCGGTAATTAATTGTAAATGTTGATAAAGAAGTACTCTCGCTAAAATAATAGGGCTGGGCTCGGGTTGGGTTCGCTAAAATAATATGGTTTTGTTTGTGATTTATTAAAAATCTACAAAAAAATCTTTAAACTTCTTTTTGTTTAAGAGTAATTTAATCTAAAACTAATTCAAGATCATATTAAATATTCAGTATAAAGATTAGTCATATGAGTAACCCGAATTAACCTGAAATCTAATTCCGAGTTGTAAGCCAGAATTTCAAAGTACAAGGATGGGTTGGGCTCGGATTGAGTAGTTGAGATTGAGGCTATGGTTAGGGTCGGGCTTGGGCTTAATATTTTATATGATGGGTTGAGCTCAAGTTATATCTCAAACCCACCCAACCCAACCGAGTTGCATCCCTATGCACAGCTAAACACCTCAAATGGCTTTGTTTTATATGACCCTTATTTATTTTGTTTATTATCATATTATTATTTTTGTCGACGGTATCGGGTCTCTTAGAGCACTTCATAATTTACTGTCGGGTACATACAGTCCCATGTCCCACATGCACCGAGCAATTACGAGAAAAATTTCCTCAGAGTGGCCCCAAACAAATGATGAGATAATTCAAAGATAAAGAATATAAAGTTTCTTTTTATATATTATATTGAATCATGATCGGAATTGTTTGATAATCTTTCTATATAGGGCTGCAAATGAACCGAGCTGTTCATGAACAGCTCAGACTCGGCTCGTTAAAAGCTCGGTTCGGGCTCGTTCGTTAAGTAAACAAGCTGAGCTTGAACACATTTTTTAGGCTCGTTTAGTAAATGAGCCGAGCTTGAGCAATGCTAAGCTCAGCTCCTGAACAGGCTCGTTTAGTAAAATAATTAATTTTTATTTTATTTTATTTTATACTAATATACAATTATATGGCCCATTTAATACAAAACCAATCTAAATACATATTCATTAGCCCAACTCTATTTAACCTATTACCCTATCATCATTATATATATATATATATATATTTATTTATTTATTTATCTTTATATCAGGCGTTGGTCTTTACAGCAGTTGCAACATCGTTTCTTCCTCTCTAGCACGCCGTCGCAACATCGCTTCTTCCCCTTTAACACGCCATCGACTGTCTCTAACAAATCTCTGTAATATCTGCTATTAAACCCTAAACAAATCTTGCAACATCACTCCTTTAATCCCATCCCTTTCAACATCGATACAGCATCATGGAGGTTTCCAATAGATCTCTTTCTCAAGTCTCTTTTTGGGTCTTGATGTCTCAATCCCATTTTAATATGGGGAAGATCAAAAAAATGATCGGATAGCTCTTTTGATCCATCGTCAAAACAATATTAGATCTGAAGCTTTTTTTTTTTGTTTTGTTTTGTTTTTTTTTTTTTTTTTTTTTTTGTTTTTGGCTTGAAGGCGAGCTCGAGCCGAGCCCGAGCCTAGTTTGGCCAAGCTCACCCGAACCGAGCCTGCATCTACCTGAAACTGGCGAGCCGAGCCCAAGCAAGGTAAAGCTCGGCTCGGCTCATTTGCAGCCCTATTTCTATGAAAAAGAGGCAAAATATAATCAACATGAAACAATGATATATTAAAGTAGAGTCTCTA